CGTGGAGGCGGAGGTGGGCGGGGACTGCCTCGGCCCTGGCACGCTTTCCTCTCCACCGGTCAGGGGCGACTTCTGACGAACCATCAGAGATGGGTGCTGGGACGCGGGACCCAGACATCCTGTGCCTCGATCTTTTCATTCTGACCCCTCCCCCAGGTTGGGCACGAATAAATGGGGGGCGTGGGGGGAGGGAGGGGGGGAAGAATGGCGCCTTTCGGGCCCCAGAGGCCCCCCCATTTTCTGCAGTCCTCGCTGCCCCCCTTGCTGTGCCCCCCACTAAATTGCGCTCAGCCAGGGTTAAGTCGGGCCTGTCCCTCTACAGGAGGAATTTTCAAAAGTAGAACAAATAGTCAAGGGACGATGTTTCTATTATTTTGGCCATTTCGGAGATTTTGTTTTTTTGTTCTTTGACATTTTTTCATTTTTCGGCCAAACTCGGCCTGCAGGGGGACAGGCCCGACCCAAAACCAGGACCACGTTTCCGTCCCGAGCGGTTCCTGTTGCTGGCCTTCCCGGGCCCAGTGGGCGAGGGCCGCGGGAGGCGGAAACACGGGGGCAGAGGCCTCCGCGCTGCTCCTTCCCTTTTGTGTCCTGGCATCGCTCGGATCTGCGCATTTTCCCCCGGCGAGGGCCATCGAGGAGCATCCTGGATCTCTGGATGCAGCTCCTGGGAGGTCAAACTATGACTTTGCCCTGGCCCAATCCGTCTCATTCCCGCTAAATCCCGGTTAGTCCGGCTTGATCCTGTTGAATTCGCGGCGCAATCTGGCGTAATTCGCAGCCCCCCACCCCGATGGGACTCAATCCTACTTGATCCGTCCGACGAAGGCCTCCCAGTAGTGGCCCCCTAGCGGGTTCTCTGGCGCCAGAGAACACACACGCAGGAAGCCGAGCAAACACGCAGCGGGGCTTGATCCTCCTAGCTCCGTTCGACGAAGACCTCCCAGTAGTTGCCGCCGAATGGATTCTTCAGCGCGAAAACAAAGCACGCAGGAAGCAGAACCAACTGCACGGGCAAGGGACGTCCGAGCGATGGCAGTGGCCCGCTGTGCGACGGAGCTCCCAGCGGCGCAGGGCGCGCCTCGGCCGCGCCTCCGGCCCTTCCCTCCCCCTCTCCCCGGCCGCAAGCACGCGCGCCCTGTCGTTGCAAGTCGTGCAAGGGGTGGCCTGGTCCTGAGGTGGCTCCTCCTCCTCCTCCTCCTCCTCCTCCTCGATCCTCCTCGATCCTCGATCCTCCTCCTCCTCGCCTTGTCCAGCGAGGTCCCGGGGGTCGACTCCTCCTCCTCCTCCTCCTCCTCCTCCTCCTCCTCGATCCTCGATCCTCCTCCTCCTCACCTTGTCCAGGGAGGTCCCGGGGGTCGACTCCTGGGCGGCTCCGCGCCGCGAGGGGCCCAGATGGCGGTGGGGGGCGGTCGGCCACACGTACACGCCGGTCGCCGAAAGCATGCTTTTCCCAAGCGTCCCGTGGTGTTGGGTCCTCGTTTTGAGGAGGCAGCGCCCCGCCTCGCCTCTTGCGGCCCCCTCCCTCCTCCTCCCTCCTCCCCCTTCTCCCCCTCCTCCCCCGCCTCCCCTCCTCCCAGTCCTGCTTCTGCTCGCCGCATGTCCACCATGTCGGCACACCCACCGAAGGCCCCAGCGGCAGGGTTTGCATGCGTCCCCCCGCTGATTTCGGCACACCCCTCACGAGGATCGTGGCCCCGCAGGGAGCTCCACCGAAGGCCCCAGCGGCAGGGTTTGCATGCGTCCCCCCGCTGATTTCGGCACACCCCTCACGAGGATCGTGGCTCCGCAGGGAGCTCCACAGAAGGACCCAGCGGCAGGGTTTGCATGCGTCCCCCCGCTGATTTCGGCACACCCGTGACGAGGATCGTGTCCCCATAGGGGGTTCCACCGAAGGCGGTACCCACAACGCGGTGCTCACAGCTGCATATGGTTGGGTCCTTCGCCAAAATAATTTTTGGACTTCCAGATCCCAATCTTCGGCGGACAGCGAGTGTTGGAAGTGAGAAGGAGAAGGCCGTCTCAGAAGGCGGCGGGACTTCTCAGAAGCCCTCGCGCCTTCTGGTAAGTTTTCGGTGTCTTCGGGGAAGGCACAGGAAACTTTTCAGAAGGCCGGGGAACTTTCGAGCCTTCTGAGAAGGCCTTCTCTTTCTCACTTCCCCCCTTTCTCGCTGCCGAAATCTACTTCAAGCGCCTACCCACTTCAACCTCTGCTGCGTTGTGTTGTTTACTTGCTTCTTGCGACCGAAGTGTATCCTTGTCCTAAGATGCGACTCCTGGGAGGTCTAATTCTGTACAGGCGCTGGTATGTTCGCGGTCGATCATCGGCTTGATTCGGGCTACTCCGGCCAAATTCGGCTCTGTGTAGTCTGGCTTAATATGGTTTCCCTCCCAGACTTACTCTAGCCTGATCCGATGAAATGGTACCTCAATCGTTCTAGCGGAAAGTTCCCAGGATTTGCCTCGGAACCCTGTCCCCATGTTCGACATCGCCTCACTTCGGTACCGAACTTAAGGATTCCGTCGGCTTCTGAGGGCCTACCCTTGAGATTGTCATCGCCTTGGGCTTGCCAAGTTTAGGGATAGGGATCGGCTCGTTCTTTAGCAAATCATGGAACCCGTTTCTTTATTGCTTGGGGCATGACGGGCGTCATGGCCTCCTCCCCCCCCTATGACGTAATGCCTCCCCCCAGTGCGCTCCGGGCACTGCCGCCGTGCGCATTGGGATCCGCGTAGGTGTCCGCGTAGGAATCCGCATAGGTGTCTGGTCCGCAGGCGTCGTCGTCGTCGTCGTCGTCGTCGTCGTCGTCGTCGTCGTCGTCGTCGTCCGTCGTCGTCGTCGCTCGTGGTTCGTCGCTCGTCGCTCGCGGACGCGGCTGGAGCCGGTTTTTAAGTCCGGGCCGATGACGGCAATCATTTGGGGGGGGGGTCGATGACGTCACGATTCACGCCGGCGGCGTCTGGGAATGCTTAGGAATGACGGAGGACGGGTAGCACGAACATGTAGGTGGCGATATGCACCACAACGCCTGTGTACATCACAGTGCCCGCGTGCACCACAGCGCCTGTGTACACCACACCGCCGATGTACACCACAGCAGCCGCGTGCAACACAGCGTCAGTTTGTGCCACCGTGCCTGCGGGCACAGCAGCTCCTGTGTACACTACAGCGCCTCCGTACACATCAGCCGAGCGCAACACAGCATCATATCAGTGTGAACCACAATGCCTGCGTGCATTGCAGTGCCTGTGTACGCCACGGCGCCTGTGTGCACCACACCAACCGTCCGTGTGCAACACAACACCATTGTTGTGTATAGAGTTTCAGAAGGAATCCTTGTGACAAAATGGAGCGCGTGTGGATTCCAGAGGAAACCAGGGACAACAAATCCTCATGGACAAAGGAGCGCCGCTGGAATCTACGAGTCCCCCCGAGTCCGCCCGCATCACCCAAACTCCCATTTGCGTCCAGGAGGCTCCAGCTAAACTGGCCGTCCGAGAACAAGTGGACCGATTCAATCGACCATTCTGCGGTGCACACTGAGATGCGCACGTGCGTTGTAACGCCAAGCCGCACAACTTGGGGTAAAAAGGAGGAAAGGGATTAGGAGGAGGAGGAGGAGGAGGAGGAGGAGGAGGAGGAGGAGGAGGAGGAGGAGGAGGAGGAGGAGGAGGAGGAGGAGGAGGAGGAGGAGGAGGAGGAGGAGGAGGGAGGAGGAGGAGGAGGAGGGAGGAGGAGGAGGAGGAGGAGGAGGAGGAGGAGGAGGAGGAGGGAGGGGGGAAAAACGCCGCATTCGATTATCAGAACTTTCTTGGCGTGGCGTTTAGTTGTCCGCAGCAGATCCTGACGTACATGCTCCTTCTACCTGTCCTATGCACGCAGGCGCTGTGGTGTACAGCGCTGCGTTGCACGCGGATGCTGTGGTGTAGACAGGCGCTGTGGCGTGCACAGGCGCTGCGGTGCACGCAAACATTGTGGTGTACACAGGAGTTGTGTTGCACATGGCTGCTGCGGTGTATGTTCACCGGCGCTGTAGTGCTCCCAAGTATTGTGGTATACGCGGGCGGTGCGTTGCACACGGCTGTTGCGGTGTATGCAGGCGTTGTGGTGCACACGCGCGGCGTGGTGCACGCGAGCGTTGTGGTGTACACAGGCGCAATGGGCAGATCGCCACTTACATGCTGCTCGCGTCGTCGTCGTCGCTCGTCGCTCGTCGTTCGTCGCGTCGTGCGCGCAGGCGCGGCTGTGGTGCCGGAGCCACACGGCGGGGGGGGGCGTCACGTCATACTCCCCCCCCGCCCTCCCCCCCCCCCCTCCCATGACGCCCGTCATCGCCGAACATACAGAAACGCGCCCATTGGAGCCTGGTATACCCTTTTAATTCCGTCTTCTTCGTCGATGAGCGTCGATTTGCGATAGGAGTCGATGAGATAGCGCCGCGCCGATTCAGCGTCGGTTGGCGTCGATTAGCGTCGATTTAGCGCCAGCGTCGATGTAGCGTCGACTGGCGTCGAGTCGCAAGAGCCGACAAGATGGTATGGGAGGCTCCCGTGAGTTGCCACCGAGGGCTCGAGAGGCTGGTGGCCCGAAGCTCGCAGCTGCGGCCCTGCGCTGGCTCGTCGGAGCTCGGGGCCCTCGACCGCCCGGCGCCGTGGGGCTTCCGTGGGCTTTCGGGGGGGGGGGGGGGTGCAACGCGAGCCGCCTGCGGCCGCCACGAGACCACAGGCTCGGGGGCGGGCACCCAACATTCAGGAGGGGGCAACACACACAGATGGACTTCAGTGTCGATGCCCAGGAACATCTGGGGAAATAGGGGAACCGAGGGGGGGGGGGAAGACGGCGGAAATCGAGACAATATCGGACAACGCGGGTAATCCCAGGGATGTCTGTGTGCATCTGTGTGATCGTCCCTGTGTTTCGAGAGAAACCGTATGGATGGTGACCACACCGTGGTGCGCTCGAGGCTAGCTGCCCCCCCCCGGGCGCCCGCGGTGCGGAGGCCAACATCGGCGCCATACAGCGGCGTGTGCAGCTGAGGGTGGCTCCGCGCCACGAGCAGGCGCCCGCTGCGCGGCGGAGGGGGGGGGGGAGGGGCGGGAGGGGGCAGGGCATCGCCGAGTTTTTGTTCGGGCTCTGTATACCAAGCCCGCGACCAGGACCCTCGCCCCCCCCCCGCCCCTCCCCCGCCCTCCTGGACTTCTGGGCATGGTGTGCAGATTTTTTTCGGGCGGAGGAGAGCGGCGGGGAGGGGAGAGGGCGACGGGGACGGAGGGGAGGATGAGGAAAACGCAGGAAGTCGTGCCGCCGCCGCTGCCCGATAGCCGACGGCGACACCTTCGACGCCCGGCGCCCATCCCTCTGCCCTGCCGTTTCTCTCTTCTACACGGCTTTTGTCTCTCACAAACACACACACACACAGTGGGGCACATGCTTTGGAAACCCGACGGAAGCCGAATTAGAAGAAGCAGGAAGGCAGTGAGGAGGGAGGAGAGGAGTAGGAGGAGGAGGAGGAGGAGGAGG